ATGCCTCCTCCCCAAACCCAATAAAACCCTCCTAGACCCAGGACACTACCGACCAATCTCACTCCTCAACGTAGATATTAAACTACTCACCAAACTCCTAGCAGACTGCCTCAACCCCTATCTAACTTGACTAATCCACCCAGACCAGGTGGGCTTCATACCCACAAGACAGGCAAGCGACAACACCAGACGGACATACGACCTTATCTGGACAGCCCACACAAGACAGATCCCGACTAATTCTTTCGCTTGACGCAGAGAAAGCCTTCGACAGACTACTCTGGCCCTTCCTATTCGCGACCCTCGAAAAACTCAGATTCCCACAAGAATTCAGGAATGCACTTACAGTACTATACGCCACACCACAAGCCCACCACCTACTCCCGCACACACAACCCCCCACCTTCACGATTTACAATGGCACACGTCAGGGTTGCCCACTATCCCCAGTTCTATTTGCACTCTCCCTTGAACCGCTCCTACAAAGCCTCAGGCTCAACACTGACATAACAGGCCTCACAATACGAGAGGAAGAATATAAAACGGCAGCATATGCAGATGACCTACTCATCACAATCACGGAACCCACAACCTCCTTACCACCACTTCTGCGCGCCCTAGAATCATACGCGGCGGTATCAGGATATAAATTAAACATAGACAAAACAGAAGCCCTTTCCATACACATAGACCCCCCCACAACAGCAGCCATCCAAGAAAAATACCCCTTCAGATTAAATCCCACCCACATACAATACCTGGGGATCTCCATCCCAGCAGACTTACCCCAATGCTATGCACTGAACTACACACCCACGATACAAAAAATAACCCACGACATCTCCACCTGGCAAAACATGCCGATATCATGGCTGGGCAGACTGGCATCAGTCAAAAAGAATGTGCTCTCTAGGCTCCTATACTTGTTCCAAACCCTGCCAATCCCAATCCGGAGCAACGACTTCAAAAAACTACAAACAACCATCGACAAATTTATATGGGCCAACAGATGCGCCAGAATAAAACGCCAAACCCTATATGTACCCAACAGAGCCGGGGGCCTAGGCTTACCACACCTTACCCATTACTACCAAGCGGCCCAACTAACGCAGGCCCAAAACTGGCACGCCCCATACGGAGTTAAACGTTGGGTAGACCTAGAACACGACATCTTCGGCAGAGACTTCCCCTCACTATACATCTGGCTACAGAAATCAGCGAGGCCCCCCTACCCCGCACATCACCGGCAATACTCAACACCATAAACATCTGGGACAAAACAACTCAAAAGAGCGGCCTTATAACCCAACACTCACCATTAACCCTGCTGCTTCGCAACACCCAATTCCCACCGGGCATGACACCCAAAGACTTTGCCCGCTTCGAAGCAAACTACCTCACTTGACTTTTCCACTACTACAAAAACCAACAACCAATACCTTTCCCAGAACTCCCACAGACCACGCCATACCGTACATTTGACATGTTCCGCCACATCCAAATCAAAAGCTTCCTAGAAATGCCAGCAACCAAACAAGCAGGAACTAAAGCTCTCACATCCTTCGAAAAACAATGCATTCAATCCCCGACACAAAAAGGCCAAATATCTGCACTCTACATACACCTAATCCAAAACGTCAAAGACGGGGCCCTTACATATGTGTTGGCTTGGGAGAGGGTTCTTGGCCCGGCAGAAGACCCGTCCGATTGGGCCGAGATCTGGGAGGCCACAGCTTCTATATCAATTTGCGTCAACCCCAAAGAACAGGCGTACAAGACGCTAATGAGATGGTACCTCACCCCTCTCAGGCTCAAACGGATGGGCAGGTCAGACACAGATACCTGCTGGAAGGGTTGCGGACAAAAGGGCACATACCTCCACATGTGGTGGGAATGCACACCCACCGCGCAACTCTGGCAACAAATAACTTTCATGGTATCGGGAATCCTCCACACAGACATACCACTAGACCCCTGGACGTGGCTCCTATCCAGACCGCTTCCCAACACACCTAGGGCCCAAAACAAACTAATCGCCAAAATAGCACTTGCCACCAGAAGAGCCATAGCGGAAAAATGGGGCAGCCCAGATTCCCCGACCGTGGGCATAATAATCCAAAAAATAAAGGAGACAATTAAAATGGACGAAATGTCCGCACTGGTACATGACTCGACTGAGCACTTCCATAAAATCTGGGACCCATGGTTCTACGAAAACCCTCTTTCCACCTGAAACACACACACACACCCACCCCACACAAAAACGCCCCGCAGACACACCAACCACCAGCACCACACGGAACCATCAGGCACCCCCCCTCCATAACCCGCCCCCCACACACACAGAAATACAAAAAGCCAAGACCACCAACCACAACCACACAAAATGAGAGAACCTCCAGACAAAACTCCCAAAGCACCGATCAGAACCCCCAATACCGGACACCCCGAAACATAAACAACGGAACCCATCATAACCGTTAAACCAGAAAGCAGATGAAACGGCCAAAGTCCTTCGACCACACAACAAAACCACCACACCAACACCCCCAAAAGTAAGCAAAACCACAACACAACACAAACAAGGGGCACCCAGCACACACATAAACACTAGAAAACCAACAGACAGGAAACCATAAAAGTGAGCCACAAAATAGAAGCGCCGCACGAAAACGGCCGCATAACATATTCCAACTCGGACTCACCAACAAGCCAAAAGCCCACACAGGTCGACACACTCACAAACTTAACAGGCCACCCCTAACAACATGGACCACATCCAACCCGAAAAGCACATAGGAAACAGTAGGCGACTGTAACCTACCCCCCACCCTCCCCTTTCTCGGTACCCCTCTTGCACCCCCAGACATGACAGAGAGCCAGACAAATAGACTAAACTCGAGCATACGTAATATCTGAACGAGGAAGCAACGCAAAACAAGCAAGAAAAAGTACCCCCAAATGTCTGTCCCCACACTCCCACCCCATGGAACAATGTTCGCTATCATCGCACGACACAAACTAACACGGACACAACACCACGCAAAAGGCTCACACAGACCAACTCACTCCCGAAACCACCCAGATACACCAACATGAAGAGAACATGAATTAATCAGCGACACAACAGAAACTGTATGTAACTGTACCCCACCCACCTCCCTTCTTTTTTCTGTACCCCACCCAAACCCCAAGGAAAAGCTGAAAGACATGCCACACGATATAGCCTGGTCATATGCTACATGAGAATATGTTAACTCTGTAAACTACGTATAACAACTGTACTGCCAACTTTTCCTTTCTGTATCCCCACTCTAAACGACAAGAAATCTCCAAAATAAAGAATTTATAAAAAAAAAAAACTCAATTCAATTGCCCCCTAAAACAAGGACAGACTGTGCCTGTAGCAAGTGTGTTAAAAAATTATAAGTTTAGAGTCCTGTCTACAAATGCTCGCAGTTTAGTGAATAAGATCCATGAACTTGAGTCAATAATGGCAACTGATAATGTAGATTTAGTCGTCGTTACGGAGACATGGTATTATAAGAAAAATGACTGGGACATAGCAATACCAGGGTACTCTTTATATAGAAAAGACAGGGAAGGCAAGAAACGGGGAGGGGTGGCCCTGTATATGGAAGGATAGCTTAAAACCTAGGCTAATAAAAGTTAGTGAGGCGAACATAGAGTCCGTTTGGGTTATGTTAGAATTTGGTAACCACACAGTAACTCGTGTAGGTGTGATTTATAGCCCCCAGGACAAATAGAAGAGTTAGATAATCTACTAGTTGAGGAAATAGCTAAAATGACAATGAATGGGGAAGTTATTATCATGGGTGACTAATCTTCCTGATGTGAACCGGAAAACCAAAATAGCTGCTTGTCAATCAGATTTTTATTGAGAGAGAATGAGAACACATGCTGAGCTATAATACAATTTTTAGAGAAATGAGTATACATACAGGCATATTATTTGTACATGTTGGGTCCCTGCTTGTTTTTTGTTGTTCAGGTTAACATACTTAAATACATAGCTACACTTATTCTAGGTAATACAATAGGTAGTTTATGCTTGTCATACCTAAGAAAACCACCGGGGCTAGGCCGGGTGTCGGGAGGGTTCTCCAAACAAATGTGAGTACCCATAAAGAAATGAAATGTGAAACCTCTGAGATAATTGGGGCCTGAGTACCCCATCACGTTAGGATGACAGTGCAGCCTAAATAAAGGTGGGAAAAAAAAAATATATATATATATATATATATAAATATGTATATCCCTTTCTTTCTCCTCCCCCCCCACCAACATTCTCCACTTTTGTCATTGATGTCAAGGCAGCACAAGTTAAATTGTGCGACTTTGCAACTGTGTGTGGTTAACGATTTATCAATATCATACACTGTTTTAAAGGTGCTGTGCTAAACATATAATGTAGTCTAACAACCTCAATTTTTATTATTATTGTGAGATGTGCGGGCTTTATAACCCAGCATCTCAGTATCAGAGCCCTCATTATGAACATTCAACCATTGCATATTGGGTACCCTGAGGGGCACCATTGAGGAGTGGGTGTGTATTTCATGCGTTGAGTGAACCCCATCATTGGACCATAGGCCCATGGCCTTATCTCCCACCCCCCCCTTGCCCAGGTACCCTTTGTTGCATTGCGCCTTGCTGTGTGGGTACCAGAGGTAGTACTGGCACTGGTCCCCTATCTAAGTGCTGGAAGCTGAGGTCTGTTGTGTCAAGGGTGTTGGATGTTATGTGGGGCTGGGAGGGCTCATAGTTTGTTGTATAGGATATTGTCCCTTAGTCAGGGCAGTCTTTTTTCCTTTTGACCCTATACCTTGGGTCAGTCCCCTACCGGTCTGATCTTGCAGGGGGTGGAGGGGGTTCAGCTGTCTTGGATTATGGTGTGTAGGTAATATGTCAGTGGTCAGTTTGGGAGGGTGGGGAGAGGGGTTATTGTGGCTGTAGGGTATTGTTCACATGTGTGTGTGATTTGAGTCTGTGTTGGTCTCCAGTAGCTGCCGACCCCGGAGCGGGCGCAGCCCCCCCCCATGCGGGCCCGCCGCCACAACTCTTTTGGTCACATAGTCCATGCATGGGTACCAGGTCAGCGCACATTTGTCTGTTCGTCCCTGCAGGGAGGCCGTCATCATCTCCATATTGTAGATGTCTTCCACCCTGGCGATCCATTGCCCCAGGGAGGGTACTGTTGTGCATTTCCAGTGTGTGGGGATAAGTGTTTTTGCAGCTGTGAGCAGGTGTATGGTGAGCCCTTTTTTGTATGCCTTCAGTGGTGTGTGCGCGTGTGGTTGAGCAACATTATCCGGGGTCGTGCGGTTTACCATCTTCCAAAATGGGACTATGAGGGGGCATGTCCACCAGATATGGTATCCTGTACCCATCAGTTCCGCATCACCAGCATTCGCCGGGGATCGAGTCATGATCATGTCTTAGGACGTCCGGAGTCCAATACCAGTGAGTCAGTATTTTATAGTTGCATTTTTGGTATTTTGAGCTTATAGTCCCTTTGTGCGTCAGCTGGAGGATCTTGGTCCAGTCCGCGTCCGTGAGCTCAATCCCAGTTCCTTTCTCCCACCGCTCAGTGAAGCCCAAAGCACCCTTGTCTCCACTATTCATTAGTGCGGAATACATAGTAGATCCACCATGTGAGAGATGTTGCCTGGCCGTGCATAGTTTTTCAAGATATAGTAGGGGGCGGTGCACATGGTCCTTTCCCATGATAGCGTTGTAGTAAGTTTTGAGTTGGTGGTAGTGGAATTTGTCTAGTCTGGTTGGTCTGCGGTCTTGTATTAGGTCTATCAGGGGTTTAAGGTTCCAGCCGCTGCACCATTGGTGATCCAATCTGACGCCTGGAAGTTTTTAAGAGTAGCAGAGTTTAGTCTGGTTGTTGGTTATAGGTGTGAGCGGGTTGGGGGATGTAGTGAGCCGCTTGGCATACCTTATCCCGCACCAGACCCTGAGGGTGGCATCTATCATTGGGTTGCCTGTGCGTATCTCTCTAAACGTAGCCTCACCCAGCCATTGCTTAGTGTTTGGGTTGGCGTGCCAGTCGACCAATCAGTGTAGGTGGGTCGCCTGGTAATACAGGAGTGCAGACGGGAGTCCCATTTCTCCTTCGCTCTTTGGTCGCTCCAGAATCGATCTTCGGACCCGTGTGGGCCTTTGGTTCCCAACAAACTGTCTGATGTTGGATGATAGCGTCTGGAAGAAAACTTGGGGGATGGTGGTAGGCAGCGTCTGAAAAAGGTATAAGATACGCGGCATAATATTCATTTTTATAGCGCTTATGCGGCCAAACCAAGATATGTACTTGGACGTCCATCGTTTTAAGTCCTGCTGTAGTGTCGCGAGGAGAGGGGCGAGGAGCACACGTATTCTAAAATCCTGTGACGGTGCACCGCGAATCCTGCAGACAGCAAGGCGTGGCCGCCTCTTTAGGAGACCTGACTCCATCTTCCCAGTCAGGTTCTCTACCTTGCTGTCCACCAGGGGGCTTCAGTATCTACCTATGTTTGTCTGCTTCCTGATTCCTTGCCTGGATGGAGCAGTGCTGATCCACCTGCAGCCCCATACCAATTAGGGTCAGCTGCTCCTAACAAGCAGTCTGTAAATGTCAGTTCTGCCTGATATCCGTTTTTTTTTTTTCCTGACAGATCTTTGTTACTCTGCTGACTGATTTCCTGGACTCTGACCTCTGCCTGCCTTACCAACTACGATACTCTGCTACCAGCCCTGACTTCTGCTTCTCGTCTGACCCTGCCTTTGGATTACACCTTCATCTGTACTGCGCATTGGTTTTTGCCTCCTCCTTTCCCCCCCCCCATCTCCTGCACCTGGGCTTCAACTCCGTGGTAAACTTTGACAACTCCCTACTGGAATTGTCTCTAAAACAAGTCGTTGAGGAGCCAACTCTTATAGAGGCCATACTAGATTTAGTGTTAACAAATGCAGATTTGGGGGGTGAAGCCTGACCAGGGAGCTGAACAGACACGCTTTCTGTGAGCTCCCGCGCCTGGGCTTGATTTACGACAGAAAACCGCGAGTAACTCACTCAAATCTGTCCTTCAGCTCACCTCGCCTTGTAACGCGAAAGCGGGGGTACAGAGGGGCACCTCACTTGTTTTAAAGCCCGCTGGGAATTTGGACCAGAGGCTTGGCACCTGCAACACACAGAGCTGGGGAGAGAGGGACGCTCTCCCGACTCACCAGTCAGTGTGGTTTAATATAAGAACAGTGACTAAGTCACACCACACAAAAACAAAAGTTTTAGACTTTACAAAAACTGAATTTTCTAAAAATAGAATATGTGTAAAGGTGTCATTATCAGACTGGAGCAGTTTAAATGGAGTCCAAGAGAAATGAGATTATTTAAAAGTTGCACTGCTGAGGGCAACATAAAATTGCATTAGGCTTGTCAGTAAAAGCAGAAAAAAGAAACCACTGTAGAAAACAAATTTAGCAATTAGTGATTATAAAAACAAACAAACCCCAGAGTGAGAAAGATAGACAGATCTATAAGATTAGGCAGAAATAGGTCAAGCAAGTTATAAGAGTTTCCAAATCACACACAGAAGAAGAAATGGCACAGTCAGTAAAAAACAAACATTTTTTAGATACATAAATGAGAAAAGGAAAGTAAATCGAGGATTAGTTAGATTAAAAACAAAAGAAGGAAGGTATGTAGAAGAGGATAAAGGTCTAGCTGACTGCCTCAATTAATATTTCTGTTCAGTATTTCACAGAAGGAAGGGGAAAAAGAAAAAATTAGTAATTTGTTACATGTAAGTTTACAGAGGAAGAAGTTCTATTTCAACTGTCAAAAGTAAAGACAAAAGTCAATGTGGCCTGATGGAATACACCCAAAGCTATTAAAAGAGCTTAGTGGTGTACTAGCAAAACCATTAACAGATTTATTTAATCAATCATTGTTAACAGGAGTAGTTCCAGAAGATTGGAGGTTAGCGAATGTTGTGCCCATTCACAAGAAAGGTTGTAGGGAGGAGTTGGGCAACTATAGGCCAGTAAGCCTTACTTCTGTAGCGGGGAAAGTAATGGAAACCATGTTAAATGATAGAATTGTTGAACATCTAAAATCTCATGGATTTCAAGATCAGAGACAACATTGGTTTACTTCAGGGAGATCATGCCAAACTAATCTTATTGTTTTTTTTGATTGGGTAACTAAAATAATAGATCAGTGTGGTGCAGTAGACATTGCTTACATAGATTTCAGTAAGGCTTTTGACACTGTTGCACATAGAAGGCTTATCAATAAACTGCAATCTTTAAGTTTGGATTCCAATATTATAGAATGGGTAAGGCAGTGGCTGAGTAACAGGCATCAGAGGGTTGTAGTCAATGGAGTATATTCGAAGCATGGTCTTTTCATTAGTGGGGTACCTCAGGGATCTGTACTTGGACCCATTCTCTTTAATATTTTTATTAGTGATAGTGCAGAAGGCCTTGATGGTAAGGTATGTCTTTTTGCTGATGATACTAAGATATTTAACAGGGTTGATGTTCCAGGAGGGATAAGTCAAATGGCAAATTATATAAGTAAACTAGAAAATGGTCATAGTTGTGGCAACTTACATTTAATGTGGATAAGTGCAAGATAATGCATCTTGGATGTAAAAACCACAACGGCAGAGTACAGAATATTTTATAGAGTCCTAACCTCAACATCTGAGGAAAGGGATTTTAAGGATAAATATTACAGATGGCTTACAGGTCGGCAGACAATGTAATAGAGGAGCAGGAAATGCTAGCAGAATGTTTGGTTGTATAGGGAGAGGGTATTAGCAGTAGAAAGAGGGAAGTACTCATGCCATTGTACAGAACACTGGTGAGACCTCACTTTGAGTATTGTACGCAGTACTGGAGACCGTATCTCCAGAAGGATATTGATACTTTAGAGAGAGTTCAGAGAAAGGCTAAACTGGTTCATGGATTGCAGGATAAAACTTATAAGGAAGGTCAGACAAAGTGTAAAACTGAAAAAAATAAATACATTTGGGGGGCGTGGCCTAACAACAGAAGCGGACGGTCGCAGGACTGCTGAGCTCCAGGCCTGGAAACCGATAAAACCTACTGAAAACCTACTAAAAACCTCCACAATCGGGCCAAATCCACTAGATGAAATATTCCGCATCCCAAAACCTGCTAAAGCTCCAGAAACAGCCACCCGTGATGTAATCCTGCAGTTTCAAACCCAAAGAGACAGATCCGCAGTCCTGGCCGGGGCCAGGGTCCAACCGACCTACCACTTCGAAGATATGAATCTAACATTTTATGCGGACCTCTCGGGAGCAACTTTGGTCTGGAGGAGATCCCTGCAACAACTGACATCACTCCTGCGTGAGCAACATATTAAATACCGCTGGGGCCCAGCTCACACCCTGATGGTAACAAAGGGCGATGATACGCATAAAATACACTGCATACAAGAGGCACCGACGATCCTGGGGCTGCTCGGCCTCCCTCCGAACACATTGACCCAGCCAGCACCTAAGGAAAGACCTCAGAACCCCCCAAGTTGGGAAACTGCCACCGCTGTTGAATTTGTCCCCAGACGACAGAACGGAACACCCACCGTCACTGCCACAACCTGAAAGTCAATTCGGGACTATGTGAGTTACCGGGACATTGCCCCACCATAAGGAATATCATTTAAGGGGACTGCAGAATAACCCAATTGTTTACACCTCACCATTATGTTTAGTACAAGGCAACACCATTACCAACTAAGCACTGCTACCACAATCACATATTTACAAAGATGTCACGACGTTAAGTGTGATACACTCGTTGTCTCACGGTTCGTCTATAAGCACAACAGGCTAAACCTCATCTGGTGTCGTTCACCCTATTGAGTTTAACTCTAGATACACAGCATGTTTCCTAGATATTACACTACAGTAGTTAACTAGCACTGTGTTTCTTTATTATGTTCTATAACTCCAACAACGTGTTTTCCCTTCCTTTGTTATTTTCTCTCAAGCTTCATAGTGTGCTTGTCGTTAATACCAACCAGTTAATTCTGACGCTAGGCATGTTCATTCACCTCTTGGTGCACACGGCATTATCCTGCCAAATTATAACAATGTGCATTGTTCAATCCTGACATGATACTGTTTGTGACAATAGACCTGTTGCTGCTATTGGGGCACTATAGAACTGTATGTACCATGCAT